CACCAGCCAAATCTAACACACCTCTTTCGTAAGGTTACCCACCATCGGTTACGCAAGAATCTGTATTGTGGAGCGACTGAGTCGCCGTTTTCTAGTCTTCACATTATTAATGATGATCAAATAATTTAAAGTATTTTACTATCAGTCATAAAACATTGGGGTATTTGGTCAACTAAGTAAATCAAAACTATACGTAGTCCCATATAAAAATTAATTGGTGAATTTTTTTTTAAATTTAGTGATTGGGATAGTGATCTCACTATATATATGTATTTCAATAGTAAAAATAGCTTTCATGTTTTTAGATGTCCAGAGCGAACCGCTTTACTTTTCTCAATAATTTTTGCATATATTTATTTTTAAATACACTTATAACAAAGTTATGTTAAAATTTTTTAACGTTAATATTTAAATTTCAAGTTGATTCTTTACCAAATTCTGCTTCGTATCGTGTACTATTCAAAAGAGAGATATTATCGTTGCAGGTAAAAATTTTAATACTAAAACATGAAAATTTTTAACATAACTTTGTTCCTCTGGGTTGATTGTTAAATTTGCTAAATTTAACTAAAAATGGAATGATTTTGGGCCTCTACATCTAAATTTAGTAATTTTTTTACTAAAATAGGAATTTACAAATCGTACAAATTATGCTATCAAGCTCGACAAGTGGCTCAAAAAAGTTTAAAGAAGCATTATAATAGCTCACATAATGAAGTTATTGAAGAAATAACAAGTCAGTTGGTTGTAATGAATCAAGAGCAGCTTGTTACTATTTGTTATATGTTAACTGAATTTTCAAATAATAAATCTGTAACTGATGAAGAATCAGAAAAACTTAAAGAACAGAAGTTATCCAATAACACTATAACCAAAGAAGAATATTGGAGAAATCATTTAATTGCTTTAATTTAAAACTTACCTAATAAAGAAGTACTTGCAGCAAACTATCTTATTACAACTATGCATTATCCAAAAGGCTCTAATAAAAACAAAATTCTATCTCTGTATAGTCAGATCTCCCTAAATGCATATTCTCTAAATGCATAGTCTCTCTAAATGCATGGCCTTGCATGGTCCCAACTTATATAACACTTATAGAATTTTGCCTCCCTAAATGCAATACCTCTCTAAATGCAAGATTTTTTGGCCACCCAATGCTATGCATTTAGAGAGGTCTGACTGTACCTTCAAAAAAAAGCATATAATTATATTGCTAATAACTTTTATAAATACTATTCATCAAAAGAGTCTTTACAGAATACAAACAGCCAACTAGTACTTGAAAATAAAAGACTTCAACATCAAACCAAAAAATTAATCAGAAAAACACAATCATTTGGAATTTGAACCAAATATTTATATAATCAAAAGTCTCGTTATATTGCAAAAATACGTTCTCTGGTTAAAAATTCACAAACAATATCAGATACAGCATTCAAAAATAAGGTTAAATCCCTTTTTGAAATAAATAAGCAAGAATACTCTTCTAATACTATTTGGCTTGCTAGTAGTATTGCACAGGTTGGAAAAGTATTAATAATTCAATGGTTGAATGTACCAAGATAATTTACGAATTTTTAACTGGTAAATCTTTCTGAAATTGGATATTAGTTAACACTTCATACTTAGCATCAAGATGTTTCTGAGCTTTATGTTGCAAATCAAATTTCTCAAATTGTACAAGCCCTAGCATTTGGTATTATGGTCAATGAGTCTGCTCATGGTGAAACAAAAAAATTTAGTTATTTGTTATCAGGCCTGAAATAAACAATCACAATGCCTATTGTAACAATGATACATCTTTTTAAGTGTAATAGTAAAACAATATCTGATGCTTTTATCGAATTAATTCAAAAAGAAGGCCTTGATATCATAAAATGTATGATATGGACCACAGATAACACTGCGTATATATCAACAGACAAAAATGGTGCAGTTGCTCTTTTTAATAGAAAAACTGGTACAAGTAAAGTTCGAGTTGGTTGTGTACTTCATATTATACAGATTATACTTAATCACTTTAAACAAGGTGCTTTTGGACACCTCTCAACTACTACTGGATTTTTTTGAATCTTATATCCTTATAATCTTCTATACTTGATTTGAAGTTTGTATAATAGATATAATTTAAGTAGTAAAGACAAACCTCTTAATATTACTTCAGAAACAATCAAAAATTTATATGATAACCTATTAGAGTTTCATTACAATCAATACCAATTACCTCTTCGATCATGTTGGGGTTATGAATTATGAACTGCCAAACAGTATCTTAATTGTCGCGAGGCTCATATACAATTTACACAATAGTTTATTCAATAACTAAAAAATTACCACAAGACTCCAAAAGCATATCTCAAGGACTGGTATCTTTTTAAATCATGGATTATGAATCCAATACTTAATATCTAAATAAAATGTCTTGTGAATTTTGCAGAACATTTTTATAAGCCGTTAGTTTAATTTGTAGTTACACATGATTCTATTTCTCAGATAATGCAAGATAGTAAATTAGTTCAATTATCAAATGGTAGAAGAGCACATGAGATGTCGGATAAGGTTCATAAGTAGAAGGATTACCTTAAAAATATTAAAGATAACTTAGAAATATTTTTTGCTGATAAGCTATTGGAAGCTATTGATATATTACCAAGTAATGAGTTTGAGCAAATGTTTAATAATTTAGAATATGAAATAAGTAAAGCATATGAATTTTTTGAAAAATAGATAAACCAATAGTTACATTTACCTCTAGTAATTTGTTGACTCAGTGGAGATCATGCACAATTATTTGCAAATAGTTTTTAGTTCATAGTTCTTAAAGGATTGGATTAGGTCACTATCAGAATTAGAATTAGAGTATGCTAATGAACTAAAAATTGATATTGATAGTGAAAATACCAATGATTTTGGCTTGCATATATTGTTATTGCATGATATTGAATTTTATGAAGAATTCAAAAATTTCTGCCAAGCTGATAATTTAGAATTACATAAATTCCTTAAACTTTATAACTTTGTTCACTTTATCATTATTCACCAACAACAAGTCAAGGGACTTTTCAACAAACTAGATTTAAAGACCCATGCCAATATGTCTTTATCATTAAAGGAATCTAAACTTCACTTAGCTTCAAATAAGATTGAGTATCAAGATTTGAAATTGGGTCTTGAAAAAGTGCAAGCCCAAAAAACAAAACAATCAACTACTATATTGCAAGATATTTAACCACCAGAATTCGAAGAAGTTGTATCAAAATTCTTTAATAATTTATTAAATTCATAAATAAATTTATATAATAATCACTATAGTTGCTATATTTCTGTATTTATTAGTATATTGCTCTTGCGTATATATTGGTATATATTCTTATATTGATATATTTAATTAATAATAATAATCGGGGTGTGGTGACTTAGTAAAGTGGTGGAGTTGTCACACCCCCAGATAGCAGGTCTAGAGTTCGAATCCCACGGACGACGATTTTGAAAATACTAGATCTGTATTGGTTAACGTTAAGATTATCGGTTGGATCCAGATATCTGTAATCTTGGT